CATGACTTGTATATGTGATCTAAGCATAATAGTCACTGTGGTAAGGTTCAATGTGGGTGGAAAGAAAGAAGACAGGGTTGGCGTGACAGGGACTCGTACTCTTTAGTAACTCAAAATATAAAAGAAAACAAAGGTCATGCTACATGTGCATTCACCGTAGCCTCGGCTACAGCAACGTTCACAGAACATTCTTCCTGCTGTACCAGCTCTCAGCCCACTTCAGATGAACGTTTCTTCCACTGTACCAGCTCTCAGTTCACTGTAAGGAGGACTGGATTAAAAAATAGAATGTAGAATATAGTTCATTCAAATTCCATTGTAGGTGGCGGTATGCACATATGAAGCTGATTTGCAACCCGCAAAACCAAAAGAAGAAGAGTGGGGGGAGAGACGGAGGCTACTAACATAGTTCCAGACAAAAAAAAATAAAAAAATAAATAAATTAACTGAAACCAATTTCATTAAATGAGGAAATTCTATAACTTGTCTGATTGTTTAGAAGGTGTGTAAGAGAACTAATATAGAAGAAAAATAATATATAGAGGTAAGCTGGTTACTTGTCTTTTAGCTTTATAAGGTAAGCATTTCCCAAAAGTGACAAATTGGAAACAAGCCTGACAACATTCAAGAGCCTCAGTCTGAAGGTTTGATGATGTGACAGTTTTTGTGTTCAATGTGTTGAAACCTAGCCACAGATTGTAAATATCCACATGACCTCAGACCCAAAGAAAACAAACTCAGAGCTCAGATTCTTAAAAATTATCTTAAAAATTATCTTTGTGTGTGTGTGTGTGTGTGTGTGTGTGTTGTGTCTTAAAAGTTTTTGTTCCAATCCAATTTGTTTAAATGTACTGTGCCTGTTCTGACAAAAAAAGGGGGGGGGGGGAAATAGGGAACGAGTGTATGATAGGATTAGAGTATATGATTTTTTTTTTCAGGCTCTTCACCTTTTGCTCCAAAATCATGTGATTAGATGGAACTGGCATGTCTTAAAGGATATCGAGTCAAAATTAAACCTTTGGGGGCGGTTTCCCGGACAGGGTTTAAATTAAGCCTGGAATAGTCTGAAAAAATGGCTTTTTGTAACACAGATTAAGTACAGATTAGTTACACTTGGACTATGGAGTCCTGAACTAAAATAAATCCGATTAAATTAAAACCAACTGTGCTAATCTGAATTAGCATGACAGAGGTTGCCTATAAAACATGGAATGAACCAAGAAAAGCTTAAACTTGCATGGAACTGAGAAGAAAATCCAAAGAAAACAATGGCATCAGAAAAAGACTGCAATCAAAAAACATTTACTAACAAGAGTAATTATTTTTTATGCAAGATAAATAATCTGCACACACAAGTTACACAAAATCTGTTTGTGTGTATATATATATATATATATATATATATATATATATAACGAAACATACACATAAAATCAACGATGTACAACTAGAATCAATGGTGTTCTTTAACAATGAATGGTTTTCATTTAAAATGAATTATTCAAACAACTATCATTAATGCTTCTTGTTTATTCCTGTGATTTACATAAACTTACTAAAACATTAATTTACACAAGTGGTGTTTTGTGTTGAAAGTCTAGAAGCAATACTTTTAACTGTACCATAGTGGTTGCTTTATTAATTATACAGCTTGGATTTTTTTTTGCTCCAAGCACAGGCTCAACACTTCACCAAAACGGTGACCCCGAAAAATACTAACATAACATAAACGTTTAAACAACAACATAATAATAGAACATTAAACGTTCTCTCCGTTTTCTCATCTTACTAAAATAATTGCATAAAATATCACTTTATTTCAAAATTTACATTTCAGCCCTGTGCAAAGAATGATGGGAAGTGAACGTCATGTATGACTGGGTTAATAGATTGAAACATATTTCAAAATTAAAACATCAAGTGAAGTCAAAGTAGAGTGAGCATTTCAAGTTATAGTTTAACATGAACTAATCACATTTTAACAATAAACCAGATACAAATAAAACATAATTAAATGTTTAAATGATATATTGATATATGTACTGTATGGAGTAACTGTAGTCTTCCTCCAGGAAATCGGCTTATTAAACTCTGGACTAAACTAAATCTAGGACTATTTAAAGCCATGACATAGAAAGCAGATTTTTGTTAATCAGGTTTAAATGGCCATTTTATTCTAGGACTAGGCTTAATCTCTGTCCGCGAAACCGCCCCAAAATGTTTTCAAAATAAAAACATAGTCCATACAACGCAATGAATGGTGACCAAAACATTGGCGCTTATGAAAATCACACAACACTGCAATAATGTAATTTATACTCCACTTATTTAATTAATGCCTTCTGAAGTGCCGCAATTGGTTTAGGAGGGAACAAACCAATATGTAAGTAATTTTTTTCACTATACATCTTGACATCTTTCCCGGGCCTTCCACCATCAGCTTTGCAAAGAGCGCAGCAAGTGTTCATTGACCAGAGGTTGTCCAGCGGAGCAGTGAAACATTGAAAATGCCCTTTTTTAAAAAAAAAATAATGACACAGAGCTTTAGTACCAAGCCATGCTCACTGTCCTTTTATTAAACTGAATACTCGTGCACATATGAAGTAGCAGGAGTTATAACAGCAAGTACGGAGGCCGAAGCTGTAACGATCACCAGCTGGAGTGCCCCTGAGAATCACCAGAGGGCACTCCACATCAGAACTAATCACTTCACAAAACTCTAATCCCCATAATGCTTCACTCCTGGGACTGATTGCACACACACCTGCACCTAATTCAGACTCTCCATAAGCCACACACAAACAGAAGTTCAGTGTGAAGTATTACATTGCCACTGCCTGTAATCACTGAGCATTTACCCTATCTTGCCGGTCTGTTTACTGACCCTGGTTTGTTTCCTGACTTCTGCCTGTTTGCTGCCTGTCTTGACTCGGATTGCCTTGGATTATTGTTTCTTGCTGCCTGCCCTGATCTTCTGCCTGTTACCTGACCATTCTCTGTGCTCGCTCTCTGAATACCCTGTTTAGCTGTTATCTGACTCCTGCCTACTTGACGTTGTTTCAATAAAGCTGCAAATAGATTCCACAGAGTCTTCCACTTCGTAACAGAATACTTTGCCACTTCAGATCCAGCAGCACAGATCTCACCTGATCTTGCCAGCATGTGTCAGGAGTTCGCCGGTCAGATCGCAGCCTTGGCCCTGGATAGCCAGTTTACCTGGGGGTTTGCTCCTCTCGCTGCCTCCTGCTCTCTCGGTGATGAAGCAATTAAGCTGTGTTACCGGCTAGGGGCTGAGGAGGTTGACCCGAGGGAGTCGATGTCTGGAGAGCTTCCTTCCGTGGTACGCCAGGTCATCACCTAATCTCCACGTCCAGCCAGAGCTTCACGTCAGCCACGTCCAGCCAGAGCTTCACCACGACATGCCTGAGCTTCATGCCGCGCCTGCACATCACGTCAGTCCAGCCGAATCAGAGACGCTTCACGTCACTTCTGCCGAGCCAGAGACGCTTCCCGTCACTTCTGCCGAGCCAGAGACGCTTCCCGTCACTTCTGCCGAGCCAGAGACGCTTCCCGTCACTTCTGCCGACCCAGAGACGCTTCCCGTCACTTCCGCCGAGCCAGAGACGCTTCCCGTCACTTCTGCCGAGCCATATTGACAATACATTACATCTCCCCTCCTAAGCATAAAGCAATAACCAAGCTAACAAAATCACTAACAATTTTTTTTTTAAGCTATGGAGTTTTGCATAAAACGAGCACATCCATATCATGAAGATCATTAGCACACCTTTGTATTCAAAATAATCAATGACACAATTAATTACAACAATGAACATCAACTCTAGCAACTAGGAAGGAGAGGTTACTAGCACATCCCTTCCACAAGGCGTCTATGCCCCTTGCAAAGGCGTCTTTACCACTTGCTCTTGCGAAGATGAGTGTTGAATGTTGTGGCGGAACTCTCCACTTCCACAGTCCACAACATAAGATCTTGGGGCACAATGTGTTTTCACTAATCACTACAACTCCAGGAGACCACTTGTGACTGCCCCATACGACTGACATCAGGTTCAAGTACACCCACAAGCCGTGCGAGTTACTCGTGTATTGCAGTTTGGCTGGTGGTTATGTTGCTCGCCTGCATACCGCCTCCCTTGGCCGAAACTGGTATTATGACACCTGCCGGGCCGGGGCTAGTAATTTAGCATGCTAATTCAGGTTAATATCTCTGCAGCACTATAACTTCTCATTTTTTTTTATAACATCATCAACCTTATTTCTTCTCATTCTTTTGATGCGTGTATCTCATTTTTGGATATTTTAACCTCAATTTTTACACATGGCACCTTTAAACGACATCAGACGATGGATAAGGGTCTTATCTAGCGAAACGATCGGTCAAGTTTTATAAGCACACATGCTCATCTGTTATTTGATTTTTTCAGGGTTTTTTTCTGAATATATTTCTGAAAATATTGATACACATTAAAGTATTTGCTCTTGCTCTTGTTTGGAAATATTTTGTTACGTTGTTGTGCTTGTTGTTGTCGCCTGTTGCCACTGTACAAGTAGGAATTGGCGGATGGTCTTTGTGATATTTGTCCCACCCCTCCTCCACTGTGATTGGACTGCTTGGTAAAAAGTGATTGTGTTTTATCCAAAGCTGAACATAAAAAAAGCCAAGCAGTAAGCATGAAACAGACCCACAGTGCTTCGTCGCATTGCTTGCATTTTTAAGGGTCATTCTCATTGAAAACAAATGTAAAAACACGCTGGAAATATCACTTTGGTGGACACAGCGTTTCTACAGAAGCTCTTGTGAGAAAAAAGGAGACAAACAATGATGACATGTCAACATACATCAAATTCCTTGTTGAAAGTAAACCAGTTTGGCAGACTCTTATGTAAATTTTAGTCATGTGAGATCAGCCGATTGGCTGTAAACGCCTGCTTCACATATTCAATGAGCTGAAAGACCATATATTCAAACCACACTCCGAACGACACCAAGTTTAGGAGCCTGCTGATTCAAACTGATCACTTAAACCTGCTAAACTAGCAATGGGTTCTAAGAACAGCAAAGCAGAATCTAAGAATGGCAGGAACGGAAATTCTAAAAGCAAAAGCCGTGGTCATAAACGGCGTAAACGCGTCAATGATGATGAATTTGATAACAACTGGGATGATTCTGGAAACGGTGATGGTGGTCTTGAAGACTTGCCTTTACCTGACGTAAATGGTCTGGAAGGCTGTGGAGACTGTAGTAATATTGAAGGCTGTGATGTAACTGGAGTCTGTAATGATCTGGGAGGCTTCTACATGGGAGGCTGTGATGTAACTGGAGGCTGTAATGATCTGGGAGGCTTCTACGTTGGAGGCTGTGATCTTACTGGAGGCTGTAATGATCTGGGAGGCTTCTACATGGGAGGCTGTGATGTAACTGGAGGCTGTAATGATCTGGGAGGCTTCTACATGGGAGGCTGTGATATGGGAGTCTTGGATTTGTCAGGAGGCTTCTATATGGGAGGCTACGAAATGGGAGGCTATGAAATGGGAGGCTGCGATATGGGAGGCTTCGATATGGGAGTCTGCGATATGGGAGGCTGCGATATAGGAGGCTTCGATATGGGAGGCTTCGATATGGGAGGCTTCGATATGGGAGGCTGCGATATGGGAGGCTTCGACATGGGAGGCTGCGATATGGGAGGCTTCGACATGGGAGGCTTCGACATGGGAGGCTTCGATTTTTGAGCCTGTGGTTTTTGAGTAAATTAGTTCAGACAGGTGAGTAACAATTATAATCACTCTATGCATTTCTTTCTAAATATGGATTTAAATATATATATATATATATATATATATATATATATATATGTATATTTTTCTCCATTGTGGAAGTTTAATCAATGTTTATTAAAAAGCAGGCAAAATATGTCAGACAATCTTACATTTGAATTAAAATAATCTACTGACTCTTGCTACATATGCCATTTAATACATTTACTTTCTGCCAGTGGAAATATCTTAAATCAAATCAATTTTAAACAACATATCTTTAACTAAGTAGATAAACATTATTGCATTTCCTTTATCATTTAAGGGTACTTTAACGCAACAAAGATGTTCTAAAAACGGAAGAGTTTTTCTTTTGCGTACAGATGACGACGTTGTTAAAATGATCCCTGTTCACATGGATTCTGGAAAATGATTAAAAATGCTGTATTATACATGCCAGGCCAGTAGACTAATGCGCATGCTGTCACTGGTTTCACAAATTCCACTTTTGTAGTTTACATGGGGACAATGGCAGCAGCACTTTCAATAATTTTCCAATAAACCCATTTTCCAAAGTTTGACTACTAAACCATTAGAAGTTTTAAACCATCTGAAGTTTTACATTTTTTGGTAAAAAAAACAAACAAAACAAAAAACAAAACAAAACAAAAAACTGTTATCTAAATGGCCATTTGATCTGATGAAGAAAAAGAAATGATTTAATTTCTGAAAACATATTTCTTTGAGGGAATCTAAGTAAAATTTAAAGTTTAAAGATGGGTACAATTCTAAGATTGTTAAAGGGGTCATTCGGATGCACAATTTCCACAAGTTGATATGACTCTTGTAGGGTCTTCATGTAAACTTTGTAACATACTTTAGTTAAAATTCCTCAATGGTTGTGTTAAACAACACCCTTTTACCTCCTCAAAAAACTCCTAGGTAACTATCGTAACCTCAGTTCCCTGAGTTAGGGAACGAGTATTGCGTAGCCAGTGGGAAACTCCTTTTCCTCGATTTACTGAAGCCTAATGTAAAACGCATTTGCAGCTGCACAGCCAGCACACTGAGCTTCTGACACGCTTATAGGCTGTGCTGCAGCAACTGCACATCCAATGGCGCGGGCGACTCTGGGGTGCGACCAATGAGCTAGCCCAACATCAGAGCCCACAGAGGGGGTGTGACCTAGTCTATATAGACCCCCGAATTAGCCAATATAGCAGGTTTATACGACTGAAGCGACAACTTCACCAGTTACTATAGTGCGGCCTCAATACTCTTCCCTCTTCTCACAGAGAGAGCCTGCAGATCTCCCACTCGCTTGATGGATGCCAATGCCAACAGGAGAGTAGTCTTTAGCGAGAGTGGTTTTAGATCAACCGACTGGAGCAGCTCAAAAGGTGGACCCTTCAGGGCCCTAAGGACCGTGGAGAGGTCCCAAGGCGGCACCAAATGGGGCCTGGGTTAATCCTCCTGGTGCCTTTCAGAAACCTTACCACCAGGTCATTTTTACCCAGTGATTGGCCAACCATAAAATGCACTGCGATGGCTGCCACGTAAACTTTGAGCGTTTATGGGGTGTAGCCCGCCCATAAAGGCACCAGGGAGTCGGGACCCTTGCTTCAGAGATAGTGCTTAAGACCCTGTCAGGAAGGTCCCCGGGTACCCATTTAGGGGCCAAACATGGAGGGCCCATTAATCTGGTCAGGGATACCACATCGTTCCGTTGGCCTGTGAGGAGATCCTTCCTCAATGGAACAGGCCAGGGGATCGTGTCTGACATCTGAACCAGCTCCAGAAACCACGGTCTGGATTTCCAGAGCGGAGCCACCAGAAGGACTGGACATCCGTTCTCCCTGACCCGTTTGATGACCTGTGGCATCATTGAGACGAGGAAAAGCATAAAGGGGCCGGCTGGGCCAGGAATGAGCCCTGTTCTTCAATAAGAGTATCCTCCAGTGGGTATTGGCTCTCGAGGCAAAAAGGTCGACGTTGGCCTTGCCGAACATCCCCATATTAGACTGACCCAGGTTGGACGCTTCTGTAAAAACCACTTTCCTTCTGGAAACTACCCCCATGCTCACCCCATTGTGGTACCAGTCCTGAGCCCGCCAAGGAATCAGCGTCCTTAAACACTCGTGATTCACCATAATGCGCAAGGCTGCTTGACTGCCATGCATGGGTTGGCACAAGCCGTTTCAGGGGGCGCATGCGCAGTAATCCCAAGCAGAGTACTGAAAATGCAGCTGCCATTAGACCAAGCAGTTTCTGAAATTTCTTCAGAGGGGTGTCCTCGCGTGCCCTGAATGTGGCTGCCAGAGCCTGTACAGAGAGCGCGCACGCTCTTGAGTGAGCCACGCTTTCATCGTCGCCGAGTCTAAAACTGTGTCCAGAAAGACTACAGTCTGGCTGGGGGTCAGTTCTCTCTTGGTAACATTGATTGTGAGACCCAAGCATTTTAAATGGCCAAGAATAAAAGGCCATATTGATATGGCCTCCCCTCGAAGGCAAATCTGAGGCCTGTGATGAGGGTCGATCTGAATATGAAAATGCATCTTTCTGATCCATTGTAACTAACCAATCACCCAGGTGAAGTTGCATGAGAATTTGTTTAACAAAAATTGAGAAAGTGTTAACATTTTGAAAGGCAGTCTCGTGAGAGCCTTGTTCAAATGTCTCAGATCTAGTATGGGTCTGAGTCCACCGTCTTTCTTTGGAATTAGAAAATAGTGGCTGTAAAACCCCAAATACATTAGCGCGGGAGGGACTAAATCTATCGCTCCTTTGCTAATAAATACTGAACTTCGGTGCGAAGCATGTGACCCACGCTGCTTCTCACTGACGTCTCGATAACCACCTGGAATTTTGGGGGTCTGCGAGCGAATTGGAGGGAGTAGCTGTGTTTATGACCCAACTCGACACACCGGGGGTGGCTTGCCAGGCTTGGCCAATGTGGCTAAGATCACATTGTGAATGGGGGGAAGGGAATGGTGGGAAGGGGGGCGCCTAACACAGGGGGACCTGATACCATTATAATGTGATTTGTGCACATACTGAGAGTTTGACTGACTATACAGGCTTTTGCCCTGGGGGGAGTCAGTGTTACAACTTTTGTCTGGGATAGGCCGCCTAACACAGGGGGACCTAATACCATTAAATTGTGATTTGTGCACATACACAATTGGACTGTGTTTGACTGACTGCACAGGCTTTTTCCTGGGGGAAAGCCAATGTAACACCTGGGAGGGGGCCGCCTAGTGAAGGGGGACCGAGAACACGTGTGTTGTAATTGTGAAACATACTCTTTTTTTGCTTTCCGTGGGTCGCCATGACAACAGTGTTTGTTTGTAGAGGCACGCGTGCAATAAAATCTACTGCCGCCTGATTTAGACAGGGAGCTGTGAGAAGTGTCATGAGATTTAGAGCAGTGACTATCTGTGGCGGTGCATGCTTCATAGCGGGCGCACTGATTGCAGTTATAATGTGCGGGCATGATGAAGCGTCATTAAGAGACATAGCCGCATGCACATACAGTATGACCGCTTGCTCCTTCCGTCGCTGCTCAATGAAGTAAGGAAGCAGGCAAGCGCATGAACGAACATTTCAGTAGAAAACGCTTCTGTCCAAAACAGGATAGTTCTCTTATGTCGTAAAGAGAACTAGCCGCGCGAACATCTACCTGCCGAGGCTCGATGAGGGAAGAAAACGTGGGCGCATGCAAGACGGTTTGCCATCCTGAAGGAGAGCTAGCCGCAAGCGCATGGTGTATTTTTAGTGCGGGGTAGCTCTCTTGTGTCGTAAAGAGAGCTAGCTGTGCAAACATCTATCCGCGAGTGCATGATGTAATTGTCGTCAGGCTCGCTGGGCCCGTCGAAGGAGATGAGGCCCGCCACGTGACAAGGCACTGATGTCCTTCGAACAGGACCGAAGAACTGCATGAGAGAGTAAGGCATGCGGGGATGTGGCCAGTGTGCGGTCACCACAGACAAACACAGAATATTACAATAGAAAGGATATAGCGCCGCCAGGAGAAAACGACTGAAAAGGCGTAGTCCGCTGAGATTATTCTCGCTCAGGCTCAAGGGCTTGTTCAAACGGCAAAGGTTAAGTAAAACAATCAGAGACATGCAGTTGTCGCTGAAGGAGTAAAAATGTGCTATAATGGCGAATTCGGGGATCTATATAGACTAGGTCACGCCCCCTCGGTGGGTTCTGACATTGGGCCAGTTCACTGGTCGCATGTCAGAGTCGCCCACGTCATAGGATGTGCAGTTGCTGCAGCACAGCCAGCACCCTGAGCGTTTGACATGCTCATGCCTCAGCAAAGGCCTTTTACATTAGGCTTCAGTAAATGGAGGAAAAGGAGTTTCTCCACTGCTATGTGCACAGCAACCCCTTTCGGTGCATGTCTCTTTAAATGATAATAATTGAGAGTGTTTAGGCTTTTTGAGGATAAAAAAAAAGTAAATGGATTTTTTTTCATTGAATGGTGGTCTTGTCCACACACTGCAAAGACACATTTGTATGGAAACACCATATAAAAGTGAATTTTGCATCCAATGACACCTTTAAAATATTTGTACTTATTAACAAGACAACATTTATGTATTTTTTTTCGCAGTGCATTTGGAGACATAACAAACATTTGATTCAATGCTGAATCTTTTCTATTCCAGGTGAACAATCTTTTTGGAGTGAATGGATTTGAGGTGACGCCGTTGCGCTCAGCTCAAAAACATCATCAACACAAAGACAACATCATTGTAAACTACAATCAACATCAGGACAACCTTGGTGTCATTATGAATGTTAAACATCATAAAGGCAATGTTATGAACAGTTCCAGCCAAAAAGATGAAAATTAAAAAAATAAACTAAAAACTATTTAATTAAATCACGATATTCTTGTACTTCTCTGATTATATAGATTGTGTGTGAGCGAACTAATAGGATTAATAATATGTAGAGGTAAACTGTTTACTTGTCTTTTAGCTTTAGGGTATAAGCATTTCCCAAAAGTGATTCATTAGAAACAAGCCTGACAACATTCTAGAGCCTCGGTCTGAAGGTTTGATGATGTGACAGATTTTTGTTAGACACAGATTGAAAAAAATCAGTCACATAGAGTTTACACTCTATTTCCTTCCATCCACGTGACCTCAGAGCAAAGAAAACAAACTCAAAGCTGCCGGGAAAGTGTTAAAAAAAATGAAATTCTGATCATTCTTAAAATTATCTCTGTGTTTGTGTGTTCTTAAAAGTGTGTATGTTGAAATCCAAATTGTTAAAATGTACTGTGTCTGTTTTTGAGTGTACTGTGTCGAGTGTATAATATGACCAGTCTGTCTCATCATGATTTAAAAATATAGACTTGTGGATTAAAAATGTGGAATTTGGTCTGCTTACTATATGCTTAGAGATATGAGGTGAAAAAATCATAAAGTAGAAGTTAACCTTAAAGAAGTAACCTTGCCATTTTTATGCATTCATTGACATATATGCAAAAGTGACTCCTGCATATAAAACATTCATGCAAAGAGCAACTTGGGATTATTGTATGGAATAAAAAGGCAAGTGATAGTTGCTTTTTGGATGGGACGTCAAACCAACCTTAAGTAACTTATATGAATCTAATAATATTTGAATTTTCTGTATGAGTTTGCAACTTTGTGTAATTCTCAGCACATATGTTTATGAAACCAGTAAGCCACATGAGCTTCTCCAGTGCATGATGAACATGGAGGTCAAGAGCCTGTCGAGGGAGATGTCGACATCTCTGTGAACATTCCTGAAATACACTGGGGAGATTGTTTTTCAGGCTCTTCAACCTTTTCACGTAACTAGTTAGAGGGAACTGACATGTCTTAAAGGAAATCGAGTCAAAATTAAACAGATTTTTAAAAACATAGCCATACAACACACAACACAATTAATGTTGACCAAAACACTGGTGCTTCTGAAAATCACACAACACTGCAATAATGTAATTCATACTCCAGTTATTTAATTAAAGGTCCCATTCTTCATGTTTTTTTTAAGCTTCGATTGTGTTTACAGTGTGCAATATACTGTAATATGTGTTCATGTTTCGCGTGTAAAAAAACCCAGTATTTTTCACACAATTTACGTATCTGTATACCGCTGTTTTCACTGTCCAAAAAAAGGCCCGATGACTTTCTTGCTCTATGAAGTCCCTCCTTCAGAATACGTAACGAGTTCTGATTGTGCAAGCGGTTCCTGTGTTGTGATTGGACAGCAGCTTATCGCACTTGCCCGAAAAGGTCATGCCTCTTACCATAAATGCATGCCTGCTGAACCTCCATCTCCGTGGGAGCGCAACAAGACCACGCCCCCTTTTTTATTCCTGTGGGCGGAGATTATTCAAAAAACTTTTCTAGTTATATCATTAAAAAAAGGAAGTAGGGATGTAGTCCAAACCGAACATTCACTGTAGGCTTTGAAAGAGGACTTCTGTTAAATATAATATCTCGCTAGGCATTGAACTTTGAGCTTTACAATTTTGCAGGTATTATTTATGCTCTAACAGCAACATTACACACTAACTAAAGTTTGAAAAATGGAATCGTGCAGAACGGGACCTTTAATGTCTTCTGAAGTGATTGGTTTAGGAGGGAACAAACCAAAATCTAAGTAATTTTTTTCACTATAGGCTTATCTTGACATGATCTTTCCCGGCCCTTCCTATCAGCTTTGCAAAGAGCGCAGCAAATGTTCAGTGACCCGAGGTCAGCGGAGCAGTGAAACACTGAAAATGCCAACGATGTTCAGAAGAGTAAATGAAAACCTTTGGCGAATAGGAAATTGTAAACCAAAATCTACTCTTCCTGCTTCCTCAAAAACCTTGCTAACAGACTCAAACTCATACTAAAGAGCTGTTAAATTTTCTAGCCTTGGGGGACCTGGAGGCATAAAGTCCAATAAAGTCGAAAGAGAAGCCCAGACAGTAATAAAGTTGATCCAATGCTTACTCTCTCCGTCTCTGTGAGATTAGGAAGGGAATTATTCAGATTTCACTCGACACAGCTAATATATCAGTAAACATTAGCCTAGCTTAATAAGTGATGAAAAAAATGTTTACTGTTACCTTTTGTAAACTGCAGTTACTGTTACACAATTATACAGTGTATTCTATAATATATTACTCACAGCATTTGTCAACTGACTAGACAGCTAGAAGACAAATGTTAAAGTCCCCGTGAACCGGAAGTTGAAAACGACTTTTCCCAAATATTGTCGTATACAGAATTCTGTGATATTAAAGGGATACTCCACTTTTTTGGAAACAGGCTCATTTTACCACTCTCTAAATGAGACCAGAAACTGTCTGGTTACTGATATTCTTCTAAATATAAAAAAATCGGCTGAACGGATTTGAAAACTGTAAAACTCAACTGTTTAACTCTGGAAATAATTATGAACAGCAGCTGCTAATTATTTTCCATTTGCTTTTTCTGCTGTTATCTCGGGACGTTAGTCACAAGAAAAATGGCATTTGTCAGCTCCGACTTGTATCCAGCCTCTCACGGAGACTTCAGATCCCCCAACGCCTGTGAAAAGACGACTCAACACCTGTGACGCCGGCGATATGTTATGCCCTTCATTATTACATGATTAACTAAATGCATTTTTCCTTGTACATTTCTGAAATGCACTTTCTGTAAAGCTGCTTTGAAACATTTATTGTGAAAAGAGCTATACAAATAAATTTGAATTGAATTTAATTGAACTAATGATACTCAGCTGTATATTTATTTTAAAACTTAACAAAACTTACCAAATCATAAAATTAATGTAATACATAGCTGATATAAAAAATGGATGACTATAGTAATTTCCTACTACTGAATTCTGAAAAAACAGAGATTCTAATTATTGGACAAACTTCCACACGTAACAGCCTAGAATACGTATCGGGTTATGACTATAACCCTTGTTCCCTGAGAAGGGAACGAGACACTGCGTCGATAAAATCGACTCTTTGGGGACGCTCCCTAAGCGTGCGCCTCTGAAGTATGAATGAAACTAATCCAATCCTGATTGGTGTTGCGTCGTGACGTAACATGTGACGGCATACCCGGAAGTATAAAAGTGACGCTGTCACAACACACACTAGCCTCGCGATGAAGCAAGACGCTCAAGGGTCTGAAAAGGGGGCGTGGCAACACGACGCAGTGTCTCGTTCCCTTCTCAGGGAACAAGGGTTATAGTCATAACCCGAGACGTTCCCTATCGAGGGAACTCAACACTGCGTCGATAAAATCGACTCTTTGGGGAACGAGTACCCACTAGGCCACGCACCGAACAGACCCGCCCCAGAGTGAAACTGATTAGGCACTCAGCAAGGGCCGAGTACGTGTGCACCGGGCGTACTGGGAAGGCTGAGACTGTAAAACCTGATGAAAGTATGCGGGGTAGCCCAGCCGGCTGCCTCACAAATCTCCTGCAGAGGTACTCCCGACAGAAGGGCCCTAGAGGAAGCCATGCCTCTAGTCGAGTGAGCCCTTAAGGCCAAAGGTGAAGGAACCCCACGCACCTTGTAAGCCTCAGTAATAGCCTGGACAATCCAGTTACTTATAGTTTGTTTGGTCGCCGGGAGCCCCCTCTTAGGTGACCCAAAGCATACTAACAACTGGTCAGATCTTCTCCAAGAAGCAGACTTTTCCAAGTATACACTCAAAGCTCTGACGGGGCAGAGCAAGTGAAGCCTCTCTTCTCCCGCCGACACATGAGGTGGAGGATGGAATGCCTGAAGGACTACAGAGCGAGCCGTACTCGAAGGAACTTTAGGCACGTAGCCCGGACTCGGGTGCAAAAAGGCCTTTACTTTGCCAGGGGCAAACTCCAAGCAAGCTGGCGTTACCGCCAGGGCCTGGAGATCTCCCACCCTCTTAAGAGAGGTAATCGCTAAGAGAAAGACCATTTTCAACGTTAAGTCCTTAGGCGAAGCCGACTCTAAAGGTTCGAAGGGAGCGAGCGACAACCCTTCCAGAACTATTGCCAGATCCCAGGCAGGCACCCTGGACCTGATCGCCGGCCTCATCCTCCAAGCACCACGGAGAAACCTAATGACCAACTGGTGCCTCCCCAGAGGTCCACCATCTACTGGCGCGTGGAAAGCCGAAACGGCAGCCACGTACACCTTAAGAGTGGACGGGGAGAGACCCGCAGAGAAACGATCCTGAAGGAATTCCAGAACTGAAGCCACTGGGCAGTTTACTGGATCCAACCTTCGTTCTCCACACCAAGTGTGAAACACCTTCCACTTGAGGCCATATAATCTCCTGGTAGATGGGGCCCTAGAGCTAAGTATGGTTTCAACCACCTCAGCTGATAAGCCAGCATTTAGGTACTGAACCCCCTCAGAGGCCAGACCCACAGCTTCCACAACTCTGGGCGAGGGTGGAAGATTGTGCCCTCCGCCTGAGACAATAGATCCCTCCTCAGAGGAATCGGCCATGGCGGAGCTATGAGGAGTGATATTATATCCGAGAACCATACTCGTGTCGGCCATCTCGGGGCAACCAGAAGTAGACTGATGCCCTCTTGACGGACCCTCTCCAGGACCCCTGGGAGCAGAGCGATCGGGGGAAAGCGTACAGGCGAAGCCTCGGCCAAGCCTGTACCATGGCATCCAACCCCAGCGGGGCTGGATGTGAGAGGGAGAACCAAAGTGGACAGTGGGACGTCTCTCGAGACGCAAACAGATCCACTTCCATCGGTCCGAACCTCTCCCATATCGACTTCACCACATCCGGATGAAGTCTCCATTCCCCGGGCCTCAGCCCCTGCCTCGACAGGATGTCTGCTCCCCGATTCTGAACCCCTGGGATATACATTGCCCTTATTGACAATATCTTTCCCTGGGACCAAAGGATAATCTGATGCGCCAGTTTGCACAGAGGGCGCGATCTGAGTCCCCCCTGTCGGTTCAGATAGGCCACCACTGACGTATTGTCTGTCCGTATAAGGACGTGGCGACCCTCGATGTCTGGGAGGAAGCTCCTCAAAGCCTTGAATACCGCCATCATCTCCAGGCAATTTATATGCCAAGTGCGATGATGGTCCTGCCACAGACCCCTGGTAAAGCGGCCGTCCATGACCGCGCCCCAGCCCGTAAGGGAGGCGTCTGTCGAAACGGTTTCCCGGCGACATGACACCCCCAACACTGGCCCTTGGGATAGGAACCAAGGCTTCTTCCATATTTGCAGAGACTGAAGGCACTTGCGCGTTACTCTGATCATACGGAACGGATTCCCTTTGGGTGAGAACCCCTTGGTCTTCAACCACCACTGGAGGGGCCTCATGTGAAGGAGGCCCAGAGGAATAATGTTGGATGCCGCTGCCATGAGGCCCAGCATCCTTTGAAAGTGTTTCACAGTGACGGCCTGACCTAGCCTCACCCTGGACACCATCGCCAGAATTGACTCGATACGTGCGGGAGACATACGTGCCTGCATTGTAATCGAGTTCCACACGACTCCCAAAAAGGTCGTGCCCTGGGACGGTTCTAGCACACTCTTCTTCAAATTGAGTCTTAACCCCAATTTTTTTTTTTTTTT